GTGCAGACTGAACACAGAGCAGGAAGTGGAGAATGACAGTTTCTTGAATTTGCCTCTACCAAAGCTCAAAGCATTGTAACAATCACCCTGCTCTGTGAAGACAGAGCTACTTGAGTTTAAGGTATTTTTAAGGTCAAAAATACCTTCTCTGTAGCAAGTGGCTTTGTGCTGATCAGAGCAGCTCTGGCTTGGGATTCCTCGACCCTGCTGCTCTGCAGTAATGCTCGGGGAGTTTCCAGGTCAGAGACAGTATTTGCTTTTGATGAATGCATCCTTGGCTCCCTGGGCCTGCTGCTGTTGAAGCTTTCCAAGATGACATCTTAGCATTAGCAAGAGAGGGAGGTTGACTGTGTGAATGACTCGATCTAGAGCTGTCTGGGACACGTCCAGCGTCCAGGACTTCCCTCTCTGTCCACTGCCTAGGTCACACAGAGCAGATCTCAGGGGTTACTCTGAGTGGAAAGACAGGCAGCAGCAGCAGAGGATAATGCCAAGCTGGCTCTTTCCCGAGAGAGGAGGGAAGGGTTTGCAGCTGCGTGTTCTGGGATGATTGCAAGCCACGGTGAGAGGCTGTGTCTGTTCACCTGGACAGTCCGAAGGATCATGTCTTCGGACAAGCCTCAATGCAGGCAAGAGGGTGAGGAGGGAGTGAGACGCCAGGGAGAACGGGCGAGGGGTAGATTGTGACTTAGTTAAGAGAGTGAGTGGACAGAGAAGACAAGACATTTGGGAGAAAGAAAGAGAGGGTGGCTGCTATTCAGCCAGTCACAGCTCAATTCTACATACATTTAGCCTGTAGATCTGTTGCTTCACCCAATCGCCAATTGAACCCAACACTGTAGCTGGCTAGCACTGGCCTTCTGTGAGTCCTGGGCCCTGCTGGACTGGTCTTGATGTAAGTGGGCAGCAAGGCAACCAGGTGTTCTATATCTAAATCGTGAGCCACGAGAGCTCACATAATTAGAAGGGTACTCCCCAGTCATCAACGTTGGTGTTTTGAGTGAGTGTGTGTGTATGAGAGAGAGGGGTAGAGCAGAAGAGGAAGGGAGGGAAGGAGGGAAGGAGGGAAAGGGGGAGAGGGAGGGAGAGAGGGAGAGAGAAATCAGAAGCTCCAAGCAGCTGGAAATCCCGTGATCACTGAGGGAGGCAGCTGTGTGTGCATGGAGGGGTCAGGGATGGGGGTTGGGGTACTCTTCATTTACGGTTTTGTCCAAGCTAATCTTGACTGTTGGGGTCAGTGTTTCTGCAATGAGGAAGTAAAATCCCCAGGCAAATAAACTTGTCCCTGCTTCAAGATCCTTTTCCCCAAGAGAACTTTTACTCACTTTTGAGTTTTCCTGTTGTAATTCTCCAGCTGAATTCTTCTGATCTGAGATATGAAGGAAAGATGAGGTAGGCAGTGCCTCAGGAGGAGCTCAGGGAGCGTTAGTTTTGCAACTTGATGAGCAGGGGACAGAATGCTGGCTTTTTTTTTAAATAGGAAACAGGGTTGTCTTGGATGCTACCACCCCCAACTGCAGCCTCTCGACTCCCCCTCTTTGAAGCTGGGGAAGGTGCGACCTTGTTTTTGATTCCTGATTATCCTGGGCATTCTGATGGGCATCCCATGTGGAAAAATCTTGTGGGAGGGAGGACTTGGGACCATGAGACACCTTTGCCAGCCAGAAACAGTCCCATGAGACCAGTGCTGAAGCCAGTTTTATGACTTTTCCTTGCTTTGTGTATGTCCTTACTGGGTGCCACAGTGCTTTCTGGAGACAGGTGATGCAGTGGGCATGAGATGGCCTGGTCTGAATCCTTCTCCATCACCCACATCTCCCAGGGAGCAAACTCCGCACCTTCTCAGCTTGTTTGATCTGTCAACTAGGGAGCAGGACAGGAGGATTGACGAGGGAGAGAGACAGGATGGTGAGCTCTGGAGTCAGCATGCCCACTGGCCAGTCCAGGCTCTGCCACTTGCATGTGGCAGGCTCATCTCAGCTGGATTGGCGACCCTCCATTGCCCCTTTCACACCTGTGTGATAGTGGTGTACAGTGTGCACCCCATTGTGTGTTGTAAGGAGCAGTGGGGGGTGCAGGGTGCCGAGAAGGCCAGAGCACTGTAAAGGTTTGTTAAGCAGTTCCTGCACAGGAGGTTTTCTGCACAGGATGGCTAGTAGAACCTCATGAAATGTGGGGGTTGGCTTTTCTCTTGCTCATTTGGGGTAACCAGAGTCATTTCCCAGAAGCCTCCTTGTTCTCAGTATCTCCCTTACCCCACCAAACCATCACGCTCAGCCATAGATATTCCTCGCCCCAGCTTCCATCAGTGTGTCTGAAGCCCATCACCACCCCCGTACAGGAAGCCCAGCTCCAGCTTTGCGGAAGCTTACTTCCTCCCTGTCTGCCCTGTCCTCCTCCCCTTCGCTTTCAGGATGTTCCTGTCTCATGCATAGGCTGGGAAGGCAGCTGCCAGCTGGTTTGCAGAGCTGTATTTTGCATGTCAAAGACAAAGATTACTCCCTGTAGCACAGTTAGAACTGGCAAAAAGGACCTTCCATTCATTGCCCGTGACCTGTGGCCCATCCATCCCAGCCATTGATCTCAGTACTCTAAAGTGCCCCTTCCTCAAACACCTCACTACCCTGGTCGCCCAGGATTTACAGAGTCACGTGTGAGGGACTCTGGGGCCTTTCTTCCCAGGCAGGCAGCACGTTGCCTGTCAAGGTGCAGGGCTCACACCTTCTTCATGCCCAGATACCCTGACACACCTGTCTTTCACGCAGGAGAGATCACGGGGCAGACAGCTCCAGGGAGAAAAGGCCCTTGAAGCAGCTGGGAGTTTCCTAAGTTTGCTGGCGGGAGGAGTCAAGAAAGCAAGTGCTCATATTGAGAAAATGGAAACACCTATCATTTGTGGAGACTACAAGGTTATTCAGTCAGAGCTTACATACTTTTTTAAAAATGTATTTGAAACACATACTAGAAGAGGGCGAGAGAGGGCAAGGGAGGGCGAAGGAGGGCGAAGGAGGGCGAGAGAGGGCAAGGGAAAGAGAGAGAGAGAGAGAGAGAGAGAGAGAGAGGGAGGGAGAGAGAGGGAGAGAGAGGGAGGGAGAGATTCCATCCATTGGTTTACTTCCCAGGTGATTGCAGCAGTCTGAATTGGGCCAGGCAGAACTGAGGAGCCAGAATCTCCCGCTGTATCTACCGCATGGGCGCTAGGAGCCCACTTCCTGGAGCCGCCTCCTGCCGCCTTCCAAGCGTGTGTGTTAACAGACAGCTGGAACCAGAATATCCTGGGCAGGTGATGAGACTCATGCAAACTGCTTGCTCTCATTTGTGGCTTGAAGGCAGCAGGAATTAGCAACACATGCCGACAACACAAAGCACCTGGTGATCTCCCAGCCTTCTGGAATAGCAGCCTGCTCCTCTGCTCCTCCCAAGCAGAATTGTAATCACTTGAGTGGGCCAAAATAGCAGGGGGGTCAGAGTCTCGTGCTTCAGGTCTGCTCGGGGACCCGGGACGTTGGCAGTCAAGAGTGATCTTGACCTGCAGGTTTGCAAGGGACATTTGCCAACAGCAAAATGGGAGGGGACTTTTGTATCAGTGCTCCCACCGGTGCTTCTAAGGATGATGGCTGAGCTCACATGGGCGCCATCTTAGCCTCACCTGAGTCTGAGACAGCACACTCTGCCCTTTGAAAAGGGGCTGGAGAGGATTCTGGTGAGCGGCGTTAGCCTGGGAAGGAGGCAGCAGTGGTCTGAGCTTAGAACCAGTGCCGCTAATTTTTGCTGATGTTTGATGCAATTTCTCCATCGTCAAGGGCTTGAAGCCTGTGCTCTGTACTTCTTCAGACCCCTGCGCCCGTCAGCTTTCCCTTTGGAGTCGTCATGGTGAGAAATAAGGTAGGAAGGAGGGCAGAGCTGTGTTCCTGCCCCCTGCATTGTGTCCGGCATGGCTGTAGTGGGAGCGGGGGAGCCTGCTCAGGCAGGGTGCGTGCCTGCGGCAGCGGTGGCGGCTCTGCCTGTGGCGGCTCTGCCTGTGGCGGCTCTGCCTGTGGCGGCTCTGCCTGTGGCGGCTCTGCCTGTGGCGGCTCTGCCTGTGGCGGCTCTGCCTGTGGCAGCAGTAGCAGCAGCAGTGGGTAGTCTTGGGCTTCGAGGGCTTTGGGTTGCTGGCTCAGTGGCTTCCTGAGAATTGGGCAGGTAGCAGCTCCAGCTTTTGTTCTATTCTGGCACTCACAGGGGCACAACAATGGCGGGCTCAGGGCGCTTTTCTCCTTGGCTTTCCTGAGCCTTTGGGTTATGAAGGCTTTTTTCTTTTTTCTTTGCAGTTGCCAATTTCCAGATAATGTTATCTCGCTCACATTCCCAACAGCACCTTGGTAATCAATGCCTGAATGATATTCCCTTGGCTTGAAACCTAGAGGGCTTCTCGAGTTCTTAATTGGACACTGAGTAGTTCCAGATCCTTGAGCTGCAGTAACTGGATTTTTTGGGCCCCGTCACCAGGTGTTTGCTTGTGTGGGATTTCCAGTCAAGGTTTTTCTATTTTTTTTTTTTTTTAAAGGGTGAGGGCTCATTCTCATTCTCCGAATAGCTAAGACTGGACTAAGCTGAAGCCAGGAGCATGAAACCTGTAACTGTATCCAGGTCTTTGAGGTGGGTGCAGGGCCCAGCACTCCAGCACTTCGGCCTTCCCAGGTGCGTTCACAGGGAGCTGGATTGGAAGCATAGCAGCCAGGACTCACCTGATGCCCATATGTAATTCCACTGCTGCAGGTGGCAATGCCAGCCACTGCTTACTATTTTTAGGAGCATTCATTTCTTGTGGAATACTTACTTCTTCAGTGACACTTATCATTACTGTCAATGTTGTTCAGCATCTTTGACAGCCGTGATTCTTCCAGACTTTGGATTGTGAATGTGACTTCCTGGAAGTGAATTCCTGGCTATAGCACACAGCTCTGTGATCCCCAGACAGCTCCGGGATAATAGAATGTTCCTCTTTCCTTTCAGCTTCTGCAAAGGAGGCTCTGGCGGAAATGAACGGATCTGAAGGCAGGCGTGAGCACTTGCCGGCACCTCCCTTCCTTTGAGGCCTGAGTAAGTCACTCACCCCCCTTCTGTGAAGTTGCTGTTGGGTCCAGATGAATTGATTTGCAAACACTATGTCACTGTAAATTTTTTTGAACAAAGATTTTCTTTGAGTTTCAGAGAGAGAATTTTCCATCTAATGGTTCACTCCCCAGATGGCTGCAAAGACTAGGTCTGAGCCAGGTCAAAGCCAGAAGTGCCTTCCAGGTCTTGCATGTGGCTAAGCATTTGGGCCATCTTCTGTTGCTTTTTCCAAGCCACTAGCAGGGAGCTGGATCAGAAGCGGAGCAGCAGGGACATGGACTGGCACCCTCCTGGGATGCAGGCGTTTCATGCAACAGCCTGGACTGCTTTGGAGACGGGCTCTACTCTCCATCCCAGCTTTTAGCAGGTGGTGGCTCAAGTGCATGAGTCACCCACGTGAGAGACCTGGCTTAGTTCCCAGCTCCCACCTTCAGCCTGCTCCAGCCTCGGTGACTGGCATTTAGGGGAGTGAATTCACAGGTGGAAGAAATCTCCTTTGTATCTCTTTCAAAAAAAATATTTTAAAATAATTTACAGTGGGGCTGGTATTGTGATACAAGGGCGGAGCTCCTACAGCCCTAGCAGAGCCAGGGACAGAAAGATGGTCAGATGGAGGGCTGTGTCTTCCTGTTTGTAACTCGTTTGTTGCTCAATTATCAACGAGGGCAGCCATCTCCTGGACACCCCTCGGCCCCAGTCACCACAGCCCGTGGATGTCGCTGTCTCCTATGTAAAATGACATGTGGCAGCGGTGGCGGGGGAGGAGCTGTGACTAGGCTGGGAGGGTTGATGCCATCCCCACAGGCGTGAGAGAGCTGCAGAAGGTGTTGGGCAGAGTTCCTTCCCCTTTGGCTCTCTGGCTCTCACCCTCTCTCCCTTCTGCCTTCCACCAAGGGATGAAACCCTGTGAAGACCCTTCGAGAGAGTACCACCTTGCTCCTGGACTTGCTGGGCTCCAGAACTGTGAGTCAAACACACTTCTGTTTCTTCTAAGCAGCCGGTCCCTGCTATTGTGTGTCAGCGCACAGAGCCGACTGAGCCATGGAGGCTCAGGGTGGGCAGGTAACTGGAGAAGAATGCACAGTTGCTCAGTGGGAGAGCCCAGTGTTCATGAGTAGGCTTCTCCTCCTTGGTAACGGTGACAGTACAGAACCAGTCCAGAGGAGCTGACGATAACTGGCTTTATGTAAACCCTGCCACAGCTGAATGAGAGGGGGCGATCATGTTAGGATAAAGAACAGGAAGTGTTCCTATGTGTTTACCTGAAGAAATTCCTTACATGGTAGCACTTCACATGAAAGCATTTGAAGGGGGAGATTAATTCTCTAAACTGTTTGTGTATTGGTTGATTTACCATGGGTCAAACCCACTCTATGTAAATGTACATGCCTCTTTTTTCCTGCAAAGTTTGTGCTCCCGGTTTACGTATGTGTGAAGAATTGTTTGCACCTGATATGTTCTGTGCTAAATTAGATACAGACCAGAGAGCTCTTGTTAATTGCCAACGTTTTGGAAGTTTACATTTTGGGGCAGAGAATCGGCAAGGCTCAAGAGCATAGTAGCAAGTTGGTTCATTTGTTCACTCCATCAGCACTTTGGAAACACTTTTGAGGGAGCAGCATGCGGAGTATCCAGGGAGGGACTCAAGTGCTCAGTGATGACATGGTCTGAGCTGGGGACCAGTGCATCCTGCCAGTGGGCTTGGTAGAGTCAGCCGTGGGTAGTGCGGCACCACCTCCAGGCCCGGCTTTGTGTGTCTACAGGGGAGTAGGGGTGTGGACATGAAGTTTTCATTTGGTTTCATTTTACTGAAACCAACTTAATTCTGACGTGACCTTTCCTGTGCGGAAGGGCTGCTCCCCTGCATGGCCTCGAAGAGGCCTTAGTCCATCTGGCTTGGATTAGAAGGGAAGACGGGCATTTTTGGGTTTCACATTGAAACACACTTAATTGTCAACAGACAGGGAAGATGGAAACAAAAGATGGCTTGTAAGGGAAGCTCTTCCTCCTTTGTTAGAGACTATGCAAATAGAAGCTTTTCCTGCAGTCCCTGCTATTGGGCCCCTACCCTTAAGTAGAACACAGCTTTGCCCTTGCAGAGTCCTGCAGCTGGTCAGAGCATTGAACTGATACCGGACAACCAGACTGTAAGGAGAAGCAAGCGGGACATGACTTGACATAACTGAAGTCACGTTTTGCTGAAGTCTGGAGCAAAATGAGGGCCTGTGTAATGGTAGCCAAATGGAGAAATGGATTCCTCACTGGGCCAGAGACACTGCCTGCAGCGCTCTCCCTCCCAGGGCCCTAGCCACACTGAGCTTTTGTATGGCCAACATGCTCCACTGAAGGGTTCTCTCATTTGAACTTTGTTTTTGAAACTAGTGGGTGGTCACTTTATGGTCTAAAGAGCCAGTTTTCACACCTTCTGGCCTACTCCACCATGTACATTTCTGCTGAAGCCACCCCCTACTTATGGTTTATTTCTGAGTTTGTTTCTAGATACATCTTGCTGCAGGCTGTCACAGCAGACCTTGAAATCTAGAGTGTAAACCTCAAACTTTGGTTGCTTTCCCTAAGTGTGCCTCTTGCTGGTAACAGTGTCTGAATTCTTCCAGTTGCTCAAGTTTGGGAGTCGGGCATGGTGCCAGCCATCTGCTCTTCAGCCAACTTGCTGTCAGTTGGTAGGAGTGGGATGAACTTGAATCTGCAGGTCTATGATGTCTGCTAAGAATTCTAGATCATGAAGGTCTTCAACTATTCTTATAATGGGTTTTTATACCACAAAATAAAATTGATCCTGCTCAAAATGAGGACTGGCAAAAAGAAAGTTGCACAATGGGTGAGGCTGTTGAGCAATCAGCTGGTCTCATTTGTTGGTTAAACAGTGTTTTCCAACATAATGTGCCAAAATTAAGTTACCAGCCTAGCAGAATGGCACCTTACAGGGGACCTTTGCAGATTTCACTTTCTGGGCTTGGCTAAGTGTTACGAAGTTTATTAAGTGTGCTAGGCCAACGAGGCAGAATCATTGCATGAAATGACTCTAGTGCCACAGCCAGTAAAACAGCCCCCCGCTGTTCCACTGGGGGGGGGATTCAGCTTCAGAGAAAGAAGAGAAGGCATTTAACTAGTGGAGTGAGCATATTTGTGGGAAATGTGGGATTGTGGGTGGAGATGGAATATGGGAGAAATCAGGAGGCTGTGCAGATATTCCTGTGAAGAGCTCTAGGAGACATTTTAGTTTCTACATTTGTGCCCTTGTGGGAACATTCTATGCAAGAGTTGTATTGGTAAATATGGAATGCTTGGGTATCCCTGTAAAAACTGTAGGGTGTGACTCTTTACCAGCTCCCTAAAATACTAAGGTCTGTAGCATCTCTGAATGAATGTGTGTCTATCCAGATATGTGACATTTATACATAAACGCGTATGGATGGAGTGTGCCACACAGAGCTACAGTGTGTTTATTTGTAGTTATGCACATAGATTGCTTCTGGGCACATGAACTTCCTTTCTGTGTTTTGTGTACTCTTGGTGAAAACTGAGTCCATTCTGCAACCTAGCATCTCTTGACGTGTATCAGTCCTGACACAGAACAACCCTTGGCCCTCACCCATGCTTCCAGAGGTTACAGATGTTTGTTTTCCTTGCTAGCAATTGAATTTAGCCCACCAGTACATTTTTATAAAAATCAGCATTTGGTAATTGCTTTCCGATTGGGTTAGGTTGGGTTTGAACCAGTGACCTTTGTAGCAGAATCTCTGTTCAGTCTCATTTGCCTGGTTAAAAATCTTGAAGTTGGAAAAAAATCTTAAAAAATGCTTCTTGATCTCAAAATTGCATGTCCAGATATAAAATAAATACATAGGACAGTTTTCCTGAGTGTTTCTTTTACTCCTGATGCTTCATTTTTTTTTTTAAATCAAATTTTAGGAGAGAATCAAGAATTGTATTCCAAGTGTCTTAGTAGTAGATTTTTTTTGTAGTCTTGATAGTTAAGAATTGTTCTCCAGAAACAAGAAATTTACTGTGTGGGGAATAGTTTCTCAAAGCATGGGGCAGCTCCAGTGAAATTTGCTGGATGTTCAGACTGTTGTGAAATCTCAGCAGCTTAAACAGAGAAATACGAGAAAGCTAGCATGGTGGTGGTCTTCAGGTATTTTCCCGCTGACCTGAGCAGTTCCCATGAGGATAAAGGACAACCACAAGAAGACTTGGTGTTTATGGCCTGTCCGTATGGATATCAGCAGCTTGATTGATTCTGATGCAGGACAAAGAGGTCAAGCGTGCAATGTTCCCGGATCCTGGATCTTGTTGCTTCAGATTCTGTGTAATCCAGGCCATCTTCTTCCACAGGAACTCTATTCTGCTACAGCTCAGGATTTCTGTGAGGAACTCGTGCCTTAATGGTCTTTCTGGTAGAACATTGTGCATTTATTGTGCATTTCCTTTTCTTGGTGACTGGCATGGGAGATCTAGTTGAAGTTCCTGTGTCTTGGGCAGGGGCAAGGATTATGGAAAAGGAGTTAAGTTAGGCGACTGGAATCCTAACTGGAGAAAAAGTGCAAAACTTGATCCTGGTTGATGTGGCGATGTCTGCAACTCTGCCTTGCAAACAAATACACAGTGTAGCCTTGGGCTACCTTGATGTGGCACTAACGTGGGCGTGGCTCTGTCAGTCATCCATAACCCAGCTCTGGGGCAACAAGTAGACAAGTGTGGTGTTTGGAAAAACCCGTGGTCAGAGGATAAACTTAACCTATGATAGGCTGAGATTGAACAGCCAACGGAAGACCTCCAAGATGGAGAAATGCTGAGCGGAGTTGAATCCCTGCTCCTTTCTCGATTCTTACAAGCCAGGGAGGAGACAAGGAAGCCCACCTGGGGCCATCTCAGTGGTGGCAAGGAATATAGATAAGCCCTGAGCGTGGCTCACATGTCAGCTCACCATGCCACTGCCCTGGTTTTATCTAGAGTGTGTGCATGGCTCACGTGACAGCTTTGCCCGACTGCCAAGCTTTGTGGGTGATGGATCACCTCACTGAGGGTGAGCTTGGGAGTTAGTCATTCATAGTAGAAATAGGTGCAGGAAATGAATGTCTCCTTCAGCATCTGTGGCAGCCAATTCCCATGAATCATTGCAGTCCTCCAGCAAACACATCAGCGTGCCCTGCAGCGGAGACGCTGCTCGCTGCCAGTCCGCCTCTGATGTTTGGAAGATGAATGCATGCCGTCAATGTGTACTCGACTGTGGGGATTTCAGATGTGCAGGGCCTGCCTTCTGTGTTTGCCTCTGGATTTTTAAAATGTTCATGAAATTAGGCTGTACAACTGCCTTTTCCCCTCAAATAAGCCAATTTTTAATGATATTCATGGCACAACACATTTCTTCAATGATCTTGTTACAACATTTATTTGAAAAGCAGTTACTGAGAGAGAGTAAGAAACAAAGAGATTTTACATCTACTGATTCATTGCCCAAATGAGCACCAGTGCACACCATGTAGGGTATAGACTCTGAACTAACCCCTTCCAGGCCATCTGTTTGCACTGGGGCTACCACGGCTTTAGAGGACGCTCAGCTGACTGGTTTTTACATCACATCACACTGTTTATTCCAGAATGTTCAGAAGGTACGGCAGGCATCGTAACAGTTGGCAGTGAAACTTTTAAAGCCCACATGGAAGAAAACGAAGTTCTGACTATTTTGTTGCTTAAGGGAATTTAATTTGTGGCCTGTGAAGTTGGATGTTCCTGGATAGTAGAGGTTTACTAAGCCATAAATGCAATGTATGTTAACCAGAAGCTATTTGGTATTGGCTGAACTCGAGTAGTGAGGCAGGAATTATGCCTAAGCTTAGAACAGATGAGTGTTAAGGACTATTCTGGGTCTCTAAGAATATTTCTTGAACAAATTGACATTGAAGACAAAAGAGGAAGACGCCTGGAAGACTCAAGAGGTT